TAACAACCCAACTTATCCCAAACCTAATTGGGGGGCAAAGCCCCCCAAACCCCCCTCCTAACTTCTTAGTCCAAGAGTTGCCGCACTAGTATTATGTAAGTGGCCATTCAGGGTCATCCCAAATTGGGTCGTGAGACTCAGGGTCTGGATGCGGAAAATCAAAGGTTTTCAAAGGAGCAGTTTTTGTGACAAATCCTCTCATTTTTACTACATTCATTTTAATTTTTCTACAAATCCTAATAGCCTGAAAAAATTCAGGCATGCTCTTATTACCATTTAATTCCTAATTACAGCTTAATTTTTCCTAATTTTTTGTGTAGAGTAAAATACAATCAAATTTAAAGTTGGTGTTTAAAGGAATGGTTAATGACTGTACATTAGTATTACTGTTGTAGTACCCCTTGCAGGCCAGACCCACATGTGGGCCATTTTACTATTCCTCCCCTAAATTTTGCTCAAACCTCATAAAAATTTGTAGATATGTAGCTAAACATCTAATAAATATATATCTAAAAATTTGAGACAGAATAATGAGCAGTAAAAAAGTTATTATACTTACAATCTGAAGAGTATGAAAAATTACACTTTTGGAGTGAGCCAAACTCTTTCCCACACAATTAATACACTATATTAATTCAAGGTATTATTATTTCAAGCTGTAATTTTGTAAACTTGTGTATTAGTATGTTTTTTGTTGATATTATTTTTTTGTAGAAGTTTCTGTACAGTTTTAAGTAAGTTATAAGAAGAATCACTAATAGTATGATTTTAACAGATTAGAATATACAAATTTACTAATCTCTGTCTTTATAATTTTTTATACTCGATTCTACTATTAGGACTAGTAAAATAAAGTTAATATTTATAATTATATACATTAGAGGTATATATGTACCAAAAATTATAACTTAAACTTAATTACTTCAATTTATATTATGTTATTATTTTTATAACTATAAAAATTATAATTATAATAAGTATTAGTAGTAAAACTACTGTTATTATCAAAAAAAAACATGTGTCCATCCCTCATGATAGATATAATAAAGTATTGAAAAGTAGTATAGTTATGATAACAGAAAGAGAAGGAATGTGAGCTTGAAGTAAAGGAGAAAGAGCTTGATTAGTATTAATGTAAAATAGTAGAATATTTATAACTAAATAAAGAGAGAGATTATTAAACAAACTCAACAACTCAAATCTCAGGAAAGGAAGAAATATACTGTATATAAGTACTAGCATACTAGAAACATAGAGATAGTGTGAGAGTGGAGAGAGTAGGGGGGAAATAGTAGAATATAAGTAAATAATCCTAAGTTACTATAATAAGCCTGTTCCTGTAGATAAAAACACAAATTTTATTAGTAAATAA